GGCGCCGCAACGCCGAGGGCGAGCCTGTGTGCAATGCCTGCGGCCTCTACATGAAGCTCCACGGGGTGAGTGACAGACGCCCCGCCCGCCGCGCCTGCCCCGCCCTCAGCACCCCCGCGTCCAGCTCCCCCTTGTCTTCCTTACTTCGGGAGGGGTTCTTACCCTTCTTAGCAAAGACACGTAGATTTCAAGGGAATCCTAGGGACTTTGCTGGTCCACCTCACATGTGAACCCACTTTACAGATGAGTATACTCATATATTAAGTATACAGTAGCATGAGGTACAACCAAGGTGACTTTTCCATTCGATGGATAAAATGACACTTTAAGAATAAAGGCATTGCTGGGCGTGGTGGTGCACGCCTGTGATCCCAGCACTCAGAAGGCTGAGGCAAATGGATCGCTGCGAGTTCGAGACCAGCCTGGGCTGTATGGTGAATTCGAGGCCAGCCTGAACTTCATAGCGAGACCCTGTCTGAAAAAACAAAACAAAACAAAACGCGTTGACAGAATTGGCTGTTCATCTGGAAAACAAGCAAACCATGACTTCCACGGGTGCCTTAAGCAAAAGTAAATTTAGGTGATTTAAAGACCTTAGCTATGAAAATCTTTCAAATAAAATGAAAATGCTACACAATAAAATACCACACTGAAAATCCCAGACAGTAAAACACTACAGTGAAAATAGTAGACAGTAAAATAAACACAATAAAAACACAGGGCAATAAAGCTATGGAAATGTAAGAGGAAATATTTATATAACCTTGGACATGGGAGAAGAACCTCTTAGGCAAATTTTAAAACTCTTAAGCCAAATAAGAAAAGTTAGATATGGTATATTTGATGTTAGTCTATGGGAAATGACACCTAAAAAAAAGTAAAAATCCACCTACCAGAAAAAGGGTCCAACTTTCCATAATACAAGGAGCTGTAAAACTCTTTAAGTGATGATTTGGAACAATCTCTATTATAGAGCTGGAGGATTAAACTCAGGAGCTTGCTCTTGCCAGGCAGGCACAGCACCACCGAGCCCCGTCCCTTGCCCTGCAGAGCTGGTTTTTGAGGGTAGAGTGTAGATCACTCTGCATAGTGTGACACCATTTTTATAAGCAAAGAGGAAGCACGTAACTCCGGAGCTGTCGCTTACCTGTACGAGAGCAGATCTGGAAGGCTGTGGAAGACTGGGAACACGAGTGCCTCTGGCATAAGAAATGGTGTGATTGAGGGCGCCGTCCGTGCAAAGACCTCACCCCACATGCCTGAGGCCCTGTGTTGGATCCTGATACCATCAGACACAGAGTTCTGGAGCAAGGATGAGAGGGACATTTTTACTGTGTCGCCCCTTATACCTTTTAGATGGCCCATATCACATCTCATTTGTTCAAATGTAAATTAAACTAAAAGCAAGCTAGCAAACCAAAAAACAGAAGGATCCTGGGACCTAAGAAAATAACACAGATCTCCTCCCAACCTCACCAAATGGACAAAAGACACAACTCACAGAAGCCATGAAACAAGTGTTCTGTGCCAGACCTCACTGAGAACCACGGAGAGAGATGTAAAAGAAAACAGTCACGAGAGTCCCTGTTTTCCATTTATGTTTGACAAAAATGAAAACAATGAAAAAATCTAGTACTGGTATAGATTTTGGGCTGTGGATCATCTTTCGTACTAGGGATTTGTATGTTAATTACTACATGTATTCTTTCAGGGAATTAACCTAGACGTGTGTTAGGGTTAAAAGCACGCTTACCTTTCGATTAGCAAAGGGAAACTAGCTTTTAGCCAACCAGTGCGCAACGAAATTTCAACCATTCATTGCTGCGGCTTATGATGCCGTAACCCAGAAACAATCTTAAACCCCCACAAGAGATGGTTGAATAAATTATGGCAGACCCCATAATTGGAATATTAAAATAGTAACTTAAAGCCATATATGTTAACCTGGAAAATGAAAAGGCAAATTACACAATAATATGTGTAGCTTGACTCTCTGCTGCGGAGGCTTGGGCTGCATCAGATGCACACCGTAGTATAGATGCGGGCAGAGGGGTGAGCACATGTGCACCTCCATGTGTAGGAATGTATGTGCATGTGCGTTTTTTAAAATGTAAAAGACAAAACAGACTGTTAAATCCACTTGCCTCGTGGCGATAGGATTAATGGTAATGGGGTGATAGGAATCATTAACTTAATCGCATGCATCTTTTATGATTTATTATAATGATCACATGGTTAAAAGTTAAAATATGCATAAGAAATACAGTTATTTCTGCAAAGGAGTGTATATAAGGATGTTTGTTGGTTCATTGTAGTAATGAAAATAGAGGAAAAAATCTAGGAAGAAAATGGTTGTTCTGAAGAACTGTGGTTCTTTAACAGGGGAACAGCAAAAGAGACTTCCAGGGCAATATTTTGCATGTTTAAAAAACACTATGTCTCGGGAGGCTGAGGCAGGAGGATCACTGTGAGTTTGAGACCAGCCTGGGCTACATAGTGAGTTCCAGGTCAGTCTCACTACATAGTGAGACCCTGTCTCAAAAAAAAAAAAAAAAAA